GAATCAACAGTGGCAACAATATTTGCTTAAGACACAGCAGCAACAATAGGCTTAAGATACAAGTATAAAGGGCACATGTGTAACGGACACTTGACAGGCAATTCCATTAAGGTAGTTATCTTGGTGGTGGTGTATTATTAAGGTGAACACAAAAGTTTACTGAGGGAGCCTTTCATGGTGAAGTCATGTTGAAGCTGAAAGTGTCTCCTTAAGTCAGCAGTTCCTGACAGTGGTCTGGGCAAATGTGAGGTACTGGTAACATAGTCAATAAGAGTTTACTAGTCCTCATAAAAGGAGTGTGATTTTTTTTTTTGTCCATTGGAAGAGGTGATGTTGTAGAAAAGTTTTTCAAGTAATCTTGTATTCCCAACTCTAATCTGCCATTTTTCCAGAGTTAAACCTCCTGTCTTCCTTGGAGCAGCTATTTCAGTTCTTGCAGCAGCCAGAAGGAAAGTGCTAAGATGTTTCAAAGCACTGTTTTCTTTGGTTTACAAATGGAGTAACAAAAGTGCAGGAATAACAAAAGTGCAGGGTGGTTTGTTTGGTGGTGAGATCTGGTTTATGACTGCTGTCCACAAAGTTTTAGGACATTTTATCCACATATGGAGATAGAAGCCAGTGTGTTTACAACTTCTCCAGCATGAGGGTGGGACATTTTAAGCTATTCTTGATAAGTGGATGTGAGTTAGATACCATCTGTGAATTGTACTAATGGTAAATGTGAAACCATGTAGTTTGACTATGTTGCAGTTAGAATGGAAATATTCCTTAGTTTTAGGTTTTCTATCCATAAATAGGTATTGAGCATGGTATACTCTTTGAACTCTCTCCATTCTTTGAACTAATTACATTTATCTGGCATATGAAAACGTGGATGGAGTAAGAAAGGCCTCAAAGGGGAGGGGCCAGGAGCCAGAATATGTCTTCAATTTTTCTATATAATTAATGAATGATGGGAAAATGGGTTTTGTAAGTCTGATTTTCTTGAGATTGTGGAGAAAATTAGGTAATTCAGGTGAGGAGGCAGACTTTGTCTCTACCCTGACCCATCCACATGAGGTTGTATGTCATAATCTGTTTGTCATAGATTGGGGCAATTGGAAAACATAAAAGTAGAATTTGATATCTGGGATTGCCAATCCCCCAAGATTAGAGTGGATATGTCTGAATGGTTTTGGAAATCTAGAGCTCTTGTCAAAAATGAAATTGTTTATGAAATGCCATAATTTAAATTTACACAGTGAAGGAGTTAAAGGGATGGATTGTAAAAGAAAGAAGAAAGTACTAAGAACATTGAGTTTATAGTGGTGCAGCATTGCAAATGAATCTACAAAATGTCTGGCTGGATAAGTCCCAAGTGCCAAAATTCTGATCCTGCTGTGGACAGAGGTGAAAACTTTACTATAACATTTATTCTCCACAGCACAGCACTTGGCAGAACATCCAAACACTATGTTGAAATAAACAGCCTCCCCAGTAAGTGTATTTTCAAACTGAAACTTTGGTAAAACTTTTCTTCATTAAGCAAGCACCACTGCCCCCCCCCCCAATTCTAAATCTTCACCACAAACATGGCACTGAAGGAGTGCCTGGACCTCTGCCTAGCTTCCCCATGTTTCCTGTGTGGATAAGATGGCTGTGCTCAATAGAGAAATTGGGGCTGAATTAAAATAAATAAGCAGCTATTTTAAATTTGACCATTCCTGACACCACAGGCAGTTTACCCCTTCCTATAGGAGGCATTCCAGATTGCTTGTTACATAAATCCTCCAGTCTACATCTCTGTCACCTCATGAAAATGGCTTCTAATGAAGATTAACAAATTGCCATTTCTAGGTACAGGAGCGTGTTCAAGGTTGAGGGTGGAGTTCTGTAACAGTCAAAAGCAGAGAGCTGTCCAATAGGTGGTCAAACCAGTAGGTGAAACTTGTAATTTGGTGAGTGTGGGAGAACCCATTGAGTGGCTGAAATGAGAAGGCAGAGTGAGGGGGAAAAGTGAAGTAAGTCACCTTTGAGGTAAGAGATGATGGGATGAAGAAATGCCAGGGTGAAAGGTTTGCCGGTATGACCATCTGCCGGATATTGGAATTCCAGTTAAAGGACACTCAACATGTAACAAAAAACAGCCCAGGGGAGCAGATACATGGCAAAATCTATGTCTCTAGAGAGCAAGGGCATACTCTTCTTAAAAATGGGGAGCACTGGAGGCAACAAAAATTGCCTTGTGGATGTGTGTGGCCCATGGCATGTACACAACCCTGCTTGAAAGGAAGTAGTGCACCAGTCGAGTCTGCCCTCTTTTGCGATTTCATTGCCGTATATACTTGTGCATAAGTTGAAAAATTTATACGAAAATATTGACCCAAAAAAACCTGGGTCAACTTATGCATGGGTCATTACTGTAATAGACTCCTTCCCAGCCTGGCTGCCTTCCAAGGGGACAGCTGGGCTGGGAAGGAGGGGGAAAAGTGAACACTCAGGATATGGGTTTAGTTATGTAAGCTGTTTATAATGAAGCAGCCTTGCTTACAGGTAATCCCTCATTCTGCTGCTGGAGCTTTCAGCTTTATATTCTTGAGAATTTACTCCATCCCCTCTTCAGTAGGGTTGAAGCAAAAACCTTGTATTTCCTGTTCACATCAATCTGAAAGCATTCACTTCTTTCATTAAGAATTAAAATTACTCAACTAATAACAATTGCATAGGGTTTCTCCATGAATGGTTTCATTCATGTTTCTTGTGCATGTTTCTTCATGAATGGTTTCATTCCTTTTAATAAAAGTAACTAGTAGCCAAAAGCAATGTGAATGAAAAATGGTCATTTTAACATTGTATTTCTGGGTATTGTTAGTGAAGGTTAATCATACTGGATTTTATTGAATGATGTGTTAAATACATTTTTAAAAGGGAGAAGGTCTTTCATGCCATAAAGATAAGGTAAGAAGAGAAAAATCTGTCTCTAACCACAGTGGAAATATGCCAAGAAGGTGTGACCAATTGCTCGTCCTCTAGGCACGACCCTGCCTCACTCTTTCAAATGAACATTTACTGAGGCAAAAAGTGGTGTCCATAGCCCAGTCCATTGGCATATGCCAATTATGATTTGCCTATAACCATGAGAACACTGTGTTGCATGAAGGGAGAAGGAAAAGGGAGTAATGTGTACATGTAACTCTAAGACTAAACAGTTCATTTATTTCAAAATGGCAAGCTTTATATTTAAACTGTTATGTAGGCTACGCAAAAGCCTAAATGTCTGGGGTCAGATGCTCATGTTTAAGTCATAATGATTTGATTGTACAATGAAAAAGATGTATTCTAATACTAGAAGAACACCAGTATTCTGACCAAGTCCTTTGGGAGGCCAGCCACTTGTTTGTTAGACCTAAATCCATCCTGGATAATTAAAGCTGCCAGAGGAGGACTGGCCAGTTGGATGATGGAGGTTGTAAATGCTATGCTCTACTAGCCTCTAAAAGAAGCAATTGTTAAGACCTTTGCTGGAAAAAAAAATCAACCCCATCACTCTAGGGAACTATCAGCCTGTCTTTAATATCCCCTTTCTAATACGTAGCCATGTTAGTCTGGAAAATCAGTAGGCAAAGGGATCTTGTAGCATCTTTTGAGACTAACTGAAAGAAGCTGGTAGCATGAACTTTCATAGACTTGAGTCTATGAGTTGTGGCAGCACAACTCCAGGCTTTTCTGGATGAAACAGATACCCAGATCCATTCCATTTTGGGATCAGGCCTGGTTATGGGACAGAAAAAGCCTTGGTCACCTTGGTGGATGACCCACACTAGGAATTGAGGAGTCCCTATTGGTCCTTTTGGATCTTTCAGTGGCATTTGATACCTTGATATTGTTCTGGGTCGTTTAGTTGAGATAGGACTTGGACATTGCTTTGTAGTGTTTCTGGTCTTTCTTGGCTGAACGTTTCCAGAAGGTGATGCTGAGTGTCATAAGTATCCTGATGGTATCCAGGTCCATCTCCCCTTTACTACTGATGCCAAGGAGGCTGTGGTAGCACTGAATCATTTTTTAATGCAGTAAAGGGAAAGATGCAGGTGAATAAACAGATTTAATCCATACGATATTGATGTATTGCTGGTCAGTAGGAAAACCAAATTGGGATTGGGATTCTGAATGGGGTTCTCCCTCTGACAGATCAGGTTTGTAGCTTGGGGGTACTCTCGGACCCACTATGATGCAGCAGACTATAAATGATGCAGCAGACTGTACGTATTCCAGCTCTTCTGCTGATGAGGTCTGGCATCCTATCACAGCCAGTGGTAGAACTGGGCCCCTAAACAACTACATCTACCATAGGTACTCATGTCCAGCGTGGCACAGTGGTTTGAGCATTATACTAGGACTCTGGATAGCAGGGTTTGATTCCCAGCTTGGCCATGAAACCCACTTGGTGACATTGGGCAAGTATGTCACTCCGCACCCCACCCCACAACAGGGTCACCATAAGTCGGAAATGATTTGAAAGTACACAGCAACAAATAACCACCCAGCCATAAAGCTATTTCCCTATGGTTGGCCAAATGGGGAATCCATCAACTGGAATGCACCCTTCAGGGCAAAGCCAATGGAAGATTTACTCCCAGGGATTATATAGCATAGATGTAAATAAAACCAAAATCTGTAAATGTGACCCATCCCCTCCCTTCATAGTTATGGGAAATATGCAAGCAGGCCATCAACATGGGAAAATGAACTCGTCTGTTCTCAGCTCCCTTATCTTTTCCTAGCTTCAAACTGTTAAGCCAAATGCAAAAATAAAAATAAAAAAATGCCTCAAACAAAATTGATCCCTTCCTGCACTGGGCAGCTGTGACCATTTGGCTTTGGAACTCCCTCCCAAGAGAGGCCAGGATGGCTCCATCCCTGCTATCCTTTCAGTAGCAAATGAAGACATTCCTATGCTGGCAGGCCTTTGCAAATTGATAAGGGCCAGGAATTTGCTATTTAAATTTTAAGGTTTGTATTTTTAACATATTCTATTTTAATTCATAACTGTTTTAACTTTTAAAATGATTTTTAATATTTATATTTATACATGTTATACTGTTTTTAAATTATATTGTTTTAAATCTGCGCTTCACTGCCTTGAGTCCCTATATTGGGAGAAAGGTGGGATATAATTATAATAATAATAATAATAATAATAATAAATAAATAAATAAATAAATAAATACATGATAATGATGATACCAGCAAAGACTTACACATCTATTTGCCTGCCAATTCTATGGGTGAAAAAATCATACTTATTTTGGTATTGCTTGTTCTCCAGTTCCTGCCTCACCTTCTCATCTAACAGAGCCAGTGTGAATGTATGTTGAGCACAAGCAGTATTGTTGCCATGTCCCCTTCTTTTGCTACCCTTATACCTTTTCTTGGGCTCTGGGCAGCACCTGCCTATCTAGTAGGGCTGCCAGTTCAGGATCATCCCAGGCCGAGTTTTCAAGCCAAAACCTGAGACCTAGACAGCTCCTGCTCAAGTCAGTAAATGTAATGTGGTAAGTATCAGCCACAGTTGCTCACCTGAGAAGACAGGATAAGAGACATTTCATCTAGCCGACTTGTCTCTGAGAACCAGCATGGTGTAGTGGTTTGAGTATTGAGACTAGCACACTGAGAGACTGGGGTTCAAAATCCTCACTCAGCTGTGGAAACCCACTAAGTGATCTTGGGCAAGTCACATATTCTCAGCCTCAGAAAAGACAAAGGCAAAAATCCCTATGAACAAACCTTGCCAAGAAAACTGTCCATCTGTGATAGATCTGACTTCAGGTCACCATAAGTAAAAAATGACTTGAAAGCACATAACTTGTTTTTATGGAAAAAGTGGATGTAGAACACAGTGAAGGGTAAATGCTGGCACCATAACTGGGAGCAAGGAGGGAGTTAAGTAAAAACATTTATGTATGAGGGAAATACATGCTTGAAGAATCTTTGCAGCAATAAATCAATTAATCCTTGGAAACTATAGCAAGCTGGTCCTCTACTAGCTGAGCTGGAGATTTCAGCACCATCCTTTATACTTGGCTGGAGCCAAGTCTGGTAAAACTGGAGAATTTGCATCCTCATTGTTGCCACCCCCACCCCAAGATGACCCATGAAAACAGGAGACTCAGGGCCAGACCCTGAGATCTAACAACCCTACTACCAAGGAATCACTAACCCTGAGTAAGTGATTATTTTAGACTAGGTGAGAAAAAGCACATTGCAATAAAAGAGAGAGAAAATAGAGAAAAAGGGGGACGTTCTTAGGTTATGTGAAATACCATTTTGCAGGGGGGGAGGGTGGAGTGTATATGCAAGATTGGGAATGGGGAAAACCGGAGAAAACTGGTCTGTTAGACTAGTTGGCACAGTACAAATGGTAGCTGAGTGGTTTGGCTGTAAGTGCTCATTTAGCTGCAGGTAAACCTCGACCATCTGCAAAGGTTGAAGCTTTGCCTTCACAGAACTGACAAAGCTTGAACTTCTGTAAAATGTCCTGTTCTCCAGGAGTTCTCAAAGACTATTGCCATTCTATGAACTGGTTGGTATAACAATAAATTTCCTCCCTTAGTGTTCTGTCTGCTTAGCTTACAGAATAAAATTCATAGCTGAATATGGATTAATTTTTTACAAAATTAAAAATGGTCAGATGGATATTATTAAGGGCACACTAGAAACTTGTGTTGGCTTCAGAACTAGTGCTACCTTCTTCTGAGACCATTCATATGCATATTATGTAGATGTGCGCTCCTAGGGTCTCTGATATTAGATGTCATGTGATACCACTATTATTATATTGCATGAATTCCCCCTTTTTACACCAAAGAGACACAAACAACATCAGGCTGGATAAAAATTAGGAAACAACTGGGATACTATTTATGGTAGTCTACTACAGACCCCTAAGTCAGACAGGAATTGGATGATGCCTTTCTAGAATAGATGACCACACACTCAGAAAGGAGAGATGCAGTAGTGATGGGTGACTTCAACTATCCGGATATTTCCTAGAAGTCAAACTCAGCCCATAATTCAAGGTCTAGCAAATTCCTCACTTGCCTCAAAGACAATTTCTTTGTCCAAAAGGTGGAAGAGGCAACAAGGGGATCAGCTATTTTAGATCTGATCCGAACCAACAGGGATGACCTGGTCAATGGGGTCCAAGTGGTGGAATCCTTAGGTGGTAGTGATCATGTTCTCCTGGAGTTTCTTATACAGCGGAAAGGAGAAGCTAGGCATAGTCAAACACTCATTCTAGACTTTAGGAGAGCGGATTTCAATAAACTTAGGGAAACACTGGGAGTGAATACTAAAGAAGGGAGTTCAGGATGGATGGGAGTTTCTCAAAAGGGCACAATTTCAAACAGTTCCAATGAGAAGGAAAAATGGGCAGTGCCTCAAGAAACTGGGTTGGATGACAAAAGAACATTCAACTGAACTAAGTTTTAAATGGGAGATGTATAAGAAATGGAAAAAGGGTGAAATCACTAAAGAGGCAATCAAATAAATAGCTAGCACATGTAGGGGTAAAGTCAGGAAAGCCAAAGTGTAGA